TCTCTTCCTTAATTAGCATCATATATAGCATGTGTGTGCATCATAATAAGTGTGGTGGAGTTGTATGTGCCATGCTGTTTAGATAATGAAAACAATAAGTGTATTGCTATTTTATTTTTTTTTCGGTGTAAGCTAGCTCTTTGGTAAAATGTTTTTTTAGCAGTTAATTTTGTAAGAGTCTCATGTCCCCATCGTTGGCTTATTTCCTAATAAGCCAAAACGGCTTATTAGGAAATAAAAATAAATTTGTAGGTGAAACTTTTATAAATGTGCTTTTTTACTTAAAAGCCAATGTTGAAAAAGAAACTACGTTGAAAATATCTCAAAATCAATCTCAAAATTAAGCTTAAAAATTTAAAATTTGGCTTTTTCTTTGGCTGATTAGGCCATCCGATGGGAGCCTCACCGTTAAATAATTGAGATTATGAATTATTGTGAATAAAAATTTTGCAATGTGACTAGCTGTCTACCTCCTTGTGCATTGAGAAAATATCCAAGCCATTCCTGAAATAAATTTGGCACATGGAAAGACGGAAAGGTCTTGAATGTAACGAAGAGGAAACTAGGAAGCACATGCAACATTTGTGAATCTCTGCAGGTTTTCGATGTGAGAGGAGTTTATTTTGCCTTCTCAAATTACAACTTTCTCCGTTTCTTTTTCCTCCTCTTAATTATTAACCTCATCCCACTTTTCCCAAATATAATATTGAATGAGTAGATAAAACCTAGCGGAATGGATGTGGACAAACCTCTCTGTCCAGATTCATTATACTAGGTAGGATAACATCAAGTCATATTTGTTATTATTCAGATTCTTTGTACTAGGTGATTTAATCTTAGTTACTATATATTGGGACGGATGAAAGTAGTATTCTCTTTTATGAGTAAAATGCATTGGCGGTCCTTAATCTTGTAGGGTTGTGTCATATAGGTCCCTAAACTCTCAAAATGCATATTCAGGTCCCAGAACTTGTTAAAGTATATCATCTAGTTCCCAAATCGACACATCTCCTCTACGATCCTACGTGGCGCTGATGTAGCATGTCACATGGACGTGACGTGTTCTTTTCTTTTTTTTTCTTCTTTTTATTTTTCTTTTTTTTCGTTTTCTTCCCATTCTTCTTTTTTTCCCTTTCTTCTGCTCGGGTCACAGAGAAAGGAGAATAAAGGGGGAAAAAGAGAAAAAAGAAAAAAAGAAAAAATTTAAATGGGTCCTATTTGCCAGTCAAAATAATGCCACGTCATGCTCATGTGGCATGCCACATTAACGCCATATAAGATCCTGAAGGGGTTCTGGCGATTTGGAACCTAGATGACACACTATGACAAGTACTGGGACTTGGATATATATTTTGAGAGTTTAAGGACCTAGATAACACATTCCTACAAGTTTAAGGACCGCCCGTACGCTTTACTCTTCTTTTATATGTATATGAATATTTTTAGATGCTATGTACCCAGTACTTATCCATAAGTATCCAAACACAAAATCATAAGTTACTATGTTTCGAAATGGACGGAGTAACTATCTAATTTACATCCTGCTACCTTTATTCTATAATAATTGTATTTATAAAATTTGAATTTATCTCCAGATAGTTGTCGCAATGAAGTACTAATGGTCTCATTAATCACTCCTCATTTAAAATTCTCCCTATTTTACCCTCAATTTCCCTTTCACTTTTACCTATATATCATTTAATAAGGGGTATCATAGACTTTCTTATCAAATCTTAATATATACTAAATAAACTAGAATTACAATTATTTTGTGACGGAGGTAGTACCAACGACGGTTGGTACAACTCTTACCTGGAAGCATGCATGTTCAGTGCACAGAAAATTAAACTTTTTTTTGGAAGATTAGAATATTGAAAAAAAAGGGAGAAAAATAATTGCACGCCTTCTGTATATTCGAGACCCACTAAAATTGCTGGGTTGAAGCCCTTTTATTATTGGAATACCGCACCTACTCTGTTCTGCTGGTTGCTTGATCATTACTGGCTCAGAACTTTTTTTTCACAAAAAGAACACCATCATCTGTGCTATGACATACTCCTGATCCTACATTCATTGACACAATAATAGCAATTTTAGCAAACTATGAATTTGAGTGAAGGAATGTGACAAATAGCCTACATATGAAATCAGAAAGTGTCATGTCGAAAATATGGTTTAACTTCTATCTAGAAATGAAATTATGCAGTTGTCTGCTCCACATAAACTTTCCTAAGAAAATAAAGAAACATTTTGAAATATATTAATTTCTTTTTGGAAATGTAGTTATGTAGTTGTAAGCTCTATCTAAAAGCTTGAGATGGCAGTGTTGGTCACTTGGTTATAATCTTAGAGGAATGTTGACTACTATTTTCAAAAATAAAATTATACCAGTGTCCACTTTGTCTAACGTTCACAAAGGTGAGAGGCAGGCACATTTCTCGTAACACACCAAAATTTCAACAAGAAAAAAAATTACAGTTATTTTCTCAATCTAAAGCAACACGTGTATAATAGTCATCAGAAGTTTCTTCCTTGTGTCCTCTAGTACCACAACCTCCACATATGTCAGTGAAGCAATACATGTAACACTAAGCGCATCCTCAATTCTTCGTTTTAGCTAATTTCTATAGCATTAAATATATTACCATATAAGCAAAGATTAAAATGATTAGAGAGTTAATGAGGAGAGAGAGAAAAAGAGGAAGAAACCATTTATTATGTAAAAAACTAGTTCTACACAAGAACTAAAAATGAAATAGATGGATGAAGGGAGAGAGAAAAGAGGTGATTGAATGGGATTTATTTTGAAGAAAATCCATTAGGTATATAGTTTCTATACATAATATCTGTATGACATGAACAGTATGAAAACCTATATGACATGACTAGTATGAAAAATGCTAGATGGTTTCTGGGATATGATTAAGCATTTACGATAGTTGAGCCTAATACAACATTTATTTTGACCTTCAACGTATTATTACGTCACAATGAGACCACTCTAAAAAGATATCCTATTAACTGTAGTAATTATTCTAAATAATATTTATTTACCCCTATTTGATAGTTTCATTCCCTTCGTCTTTTTCGCAGAGATCTCACATACCTAATATTTCCGAATTTCATTGGCTCTCCTAGTATCTTCACCACTACCGGTACACCATAATGACTCTGACTCAACCTGCCCTCCACCCCACCAACACCAACGGCTTCGCCACATGTGGTCACCAAAGAGGCCTATGTCTCCACGGTTCACCTTGTATGGTTTAACTACCTTTGACTGTTTACATAGTCTCCATCATCCATGTTGCCCCTTTGCCCCTCCCACATGCCCGCTAGCAGTGGATCTAAGATTCCATTGCAAGTGTTTTTTTTTCTTGCGCATGGTTCCTCCTCAAGGTTGCATACTTGCATCGTACTTGGAGCATAGCGTCGATGCTTAGCGAAAGTTAATCTCCCCTGTCTTTTCCCGCTCTCTGTCCTCCATCTCAAAACAAAATCTACACGTCAGCAATATATATCGGTCCATTAATTTATTGTTTTTGTACATACCCCTTTATCAAAAGTACCCTCCCATACGAATGTTGGGTCAAAGTCAATCCCCCTTGTCTCTTCCCACACTCTCTCGTCCATATCAAAACAAAAATCTATGCGTCAAGTTTATAAATCGGTTCATTTGTTGCTTTTGTACATATGTCCTTTATCAAAAAATATCCTTCCACACGATTGTCGGTCAAAAGCATCCTTCAACATAGTCTTTAGGACCACAATATCCACACATGCTATTGAATGCGTATCATAGAAAGTGGTGTTAATTCTGAGCTACAAATGATCTTCTCTTCCTCCCTTGCATTTAAACCTTTCATGCTATATCTACAAACACTACAAGAAAAAAAGCTTTGCAGAGACATTTTTTTATACTGTAGAGGCACTTTTCAAATGACTTTACAATATTATAGAGGCATTTTAAAAAAAATGTCTAATAAGTGTCTTATGGTGAATTGTCTCTACAAACGAAGAGACATTTTATAAAATGTCTATAAGATGGTAGAGGCATTTTCTAGAGACATTAAATTGCACCACAAACATATGAAGCCAGTCCAAAAAAGAAGAATAGAATAGTTTCCTTCCTTTTGTCAAGCTTTGAACTCAAGATCACTTGAACATATCATTTTTATCTTCAATGCACTAACCAACTCAACTCCATGTCATTACTTGCATGTTGGTGCAATTAGTTACTTATATTTAGTCCTTTAGTACACATTATCATTCTAAAAAGTGTCTCTATATAGTTTAAAATGTCTCAAGAAAATGCCTTTACATATCAGGCACATTTTACAGTGCCGAAAGAATGTCTCTACAAGATAGAATCTAATAAACTAAGCTGAAAATGTCTCTAGAGTAAAAGTTTTCTAAGCAATTCTTAAAGTGCCTTTATAAAGTGTCTCTACACTGTAAAACTTTTGATCTTAGAAGCAATTTGCAAAACGTCTCTACAAAAGTGCCTCTATATGAGGTTTTTGTTGTAGTGAAAACATCATTTCACAAGAGTTATAAACGTCTGACCATCACCATTGGATATAGACTGGACAATAGAGGAGACCCTAGTCACCGGTCAGGGTCACTCCCACGGACCAACTGGTCCTTGGATCGAAGCTTTTCGCGGACTCTGTTGTCCAACACCTTACATGGTCTATCAAAAGTTTTGTTTTTTATGGCATGTGGTTTTCCCTCAAGGCTACATTAACTGCATCGTACTTGGAGTATAGCATCTACGCTTAGCTTAAGTCAATCTCCCCTATCTCTTTCTACGCTCTCTCTCTCCTATAACTCAAAACAAATTCTACGCGTCAGCTCTAAAGATCACTTCATTTATTGCTTTTGTACATACGCATTTTATAAAATATCCTTCCGCATGGTTGTCGGGTCAAAAGACATCCTTCAACATAGCCTTCAGGACCACAACCCTCACGCACTATATTACCAAATGCGTATAATAGAAATGGTAACACGAAGCTACAGAACTGTCTTGGGTGGCTCTATGCACAACCATTTCCCCCATTCCGTTTCCAACCTCTATTACCATACCTACCCAAACCATTTTCCACACAAGAGATGTATGTGTACCCATCATGCCATCACCGTCGGATGCAGATCGGACGGCGGAGGACCCTCCCAAAAAAGTGACAGCACAGTCAAAAACGGCAAAAAGTAAAGAGTAGAAACCGAAGAGGGCAAGCCAGGTCAAAACCCCCCTCAAATCGGAAACCTACAAAGCCTACACCTACACAGCCTAGCCTTCTTGTCCTCCACTACCACTGTGCAGCTTCCTTCCTCCGCCATAAAGCAGAGGAGAGAGAGCCTCACGTGAGAGGCCTCCTCGGTCTCGCCGCGCTCCCCCCAAAACCCCCCATTTTGCCATCATCGCCTCGTCGCCGCCGCCATCCGCCGCCGTCGTCGCCGTCGTCGCCGGCGACGAGTAGGTGGGACTCCCTTTCGTCCATGTTCCAAAGATGTTTGTGTTTGTGTGGGCGGGTTTTGTGGTGGGTTGGGTGCAATGTGGGATGAGAAGGGTGCGTGTCTCCCTTCCCCTGTTTCTTGATCGCTCCGCCGCCGGGTTTGTTCGCCGTTGGGCGAGTGGTCAGAGGATGAGGAGGAGAAAAGAAAAGGAAATACCAAAAAGGAAAAAACCCTCTTTTTTTTTTGTTTGTGACGCACAAATCTGTTGCGGCGAGTGGGTTTTGTTTGGTTTTGGCACGAGCTTGCTTGCTCTGTTTTTCTTTTATTATTTCCGTTTTGTTGTTTATCAGATTGCGATTGTTGATGCTGGGTTGCGTGTGTGATGATGATGATGGAAGTGGGGGGTGATTGGGCGGTTTTTGATGGTGGTTTTCAACCAAAAAAAGGAAAGAAAAGGAGAGATTTTTTGTTGCTGTGATTTTGGTTTTGGGAATGGTGCGTTTTGATCATGGATTGCTGACTTTGTTTAGACCAAAATAAGACCATCTTTTGGAGATGATTGCGATGTTGTTGTGGGTGATGTGAGGGGTGGGTCGGGAGGGGATCATCGTGGGATCTTCATTTTGTGACGAGCAACAGGTTCGCTCGATGTTGTCGGGGTTTGTTCAGAGAGGAGCAGAGATAGTGGTCTAATAGGTTAAGAAAGGTTGATTTCTTTTTGTGCCATTGCTGGGATAGGAATGTTTAGGTAAAATGGTTCTCTCTTGACTGTTGTGCAGAAAGGCCCCGGGTCTTCTGTCTAGCACCACAAGATGTATGTTAGCGGTTAGCCGACCCGGGTTCGAGTCTCACCCTCCCTTTAATAAATTTCAATATGAGAGCCCCTCCTCTCATACTATGCGAGTTATGATCCTGTAATCATGTTACTGTCATAATGTGCGTGTTATGATCCTGTAATCATGTTATTGTGCGTGCGCCTTTTCGAGGAGTCGCTTGCGGCTTCTGATTCAAGGATTACATGATGCTTTTCTAAATATATTCATTTTTTTTTGTTCTTAGTTGTTAAAAGGAACACACTTCTTTTTTTTTGTTAACACAGGGAGAAGCTGTCTGGTGGTTAGCGATGGAAGATCCTGAAATTACTGGTCAGCAGTCACCAAATGCCACAAGTATTGTGACGGATCTCATGGATTTGGATGACATTATTGTTGAGGGCAATGAGGTACAGTTTGCTATGGATGTGGATTTGAGAGCAATACCATCTCTGAAAGATGGAGGGCACACAGACCCACTGGTACAAATCCCAGGTGACATGTCTCATATGGATGTGGATTTGAGAGTGATACCATCTCTGAAAGATGGAGGGCATGCAGACCCACCAGTACAAGTCCCAGTTGACAAGAGGATTGCAAGCCTAGAGAAGCTCTGTAAAGAAGCATCAAGATCATTTTTCAGGGAAACTAGGCTAGTTAGCCATCAGATAAACTCCTACAATGATTTTGTCTCTCATGGGCTCCAAAAGATGTTTGATTCTCTCGATGAAGTTACTGTCGAGCCTGACTATGATCCTTCAAAGAAAGTAGGCCCCTGGAGGCACGCGACCATCAAGTTTGGTCGAGTGGAGCTTGAGGAGCCGGTGTTTTGGGTCGACAACTGTGATCTTGATGTGGAAACACTCAAACTGAAGCCTAAACATGCTCGCCTCCAGAAGATGACATACTCTTCAAAGATGAAAGTAGAAATGACTGTTCAGGTTGCACCTTTGACACCCCTCATACTGTGTTCAGCACGAAATAACTGCACTATGCACAAGAAAAAAAAATTAAATGCAAGACCGAATCATGAACAATTTTCATAACTAGCAGCAAAATTAGTGAGTTTGAGCAACTCTTGACTTCATGTCCACCTGTTAAGTTTGTTGTCACATGAAAGTTGGCACTGTAGCCATAGGTTTTATGTTTTTCCTACACCGTGAGTGAAAAAAGTTTGTGTAACTCTCCATTACATATTGTGATCACACTGTTACCTAGCAAATTATCAACGAAATTGGTATGTTTGATCCTAAATTGTACTGTTTATTCCTCTCAAGCAGTAGTTATGAGTTAAATTAACTCTCTTGTATATATTTATTAATCTATAGTACTGAATTCTTGTATTGTCATTTTTCTATTAAATTTCACACCATCTGATTAATTAATATTTTTGCTGTATCAGGTCTATTCACTCCACAAAAGCGACAAAGCTAAAACTGGCGAGGACCCATATATACAAAGAAAAGATATAATGAAAGAGACTAAATGGGTCACTATTGGCAAGTTACCTGTCATGGTGAAGTCAAATTTGTGCTGGCTGCATAAACTTCAGGAAAGCGAATGCGAGTATGATTTTGGTGGATATTTTCTTATCAAGGGAATGGAAAAGGTATTGCTTCACATGATCTAACAATGCCCAACCCACCCAGCTAGATCCAACGATCGGAAACAATTTGATACCGTGAGGTACCGGTACCTCGAGGTACTTTTTGTTGGACCGGAGTAAATCTCATAATATATACATGGCGTATTTTACTGTTGATCAATGGATAAGATTTTTTACTGGTCTTACCTTCCAAGGGTCTGGTACATGCTCTTAGTGCAATTAATGCACCGAGAAAATTTTTATTACCATTCTTTCATTTTCCCCATCCTGATGCAGCAAAGTTTCCTTTTCTAAACGCTAAGAGCCGATGTAAGACGTTGTTAAGCTTAACATCGATGTTTCTCTCCCCCCCCCTCTTCCATGTCAGCAAATTTACCTTGTTAACCACCCTAAGAGCCTGCTATTAATTATTGTTGTACATGCCCAGAGGTAAGTGGAGCACCCTAATTTCCTTTTCATGAAAAGTGGAGCACCCAAAAAGAGCTTGTACGGCAGGATACATTTAAAACAACAGGCAGAACATATTCACACATAATAGTCTCACAAGATAGACTAGCTTGGTACTGCCAAATCTGCAATACATATGAGTCTGGAAAGATCTGAACTCAGATGAAGTTAGTTAGATCTAGCTTAACTTGTAATGCATATTATAAGAATTTGACCATAGTGCAATTCTGGTTTTAAATATTAGATTTGTTTTGCTTCTTAGTTGTGCATTGCAACATTTTAATATGAACCTATTTTAGTAATTCACTTTGGAATTATACTTTGTAGTCTTGTCAAAGGAATTTTCAGCTGCAGAGTTTTGCACTGCCCATCAAAATTTACCCTCTTCTGGATCACTTTAATTCTTAAAGTTATTACCCTATGTCGGCGCATACAACGTTTGATGCCATCTCTGGGTTATTTAAAACTCACGTTTTTATTACTTCCAACCATGTAGGTATTCGTTGCTGAAGAGCAGAGATGCCTCTCCAGGATTTGGATCAATGACAGCCCCACCTGGGAGGCTTGTTACCAACGGTCTCAAATCCGACGAGAAAAGATCTCTATAAAACCTGTTCAGTCTAATGATGGTTTCAGAAAAGTCATTAACCTGTACTTTTTGGGTGCAACTATACCAATCTGGATAATGTTTTTTGCACTAGGTGTATCATCAGACAAAGAAGCTTTTGATATTATTGACATACAAGAATGTGATGCTTCCATGGCCAACATAATATCAGCTACTATAACTGAATCTCATGAGCAGTGCGAAGGCTTTCAGAGAGAAGGGAGAGCCAGTGAATATATTGATAAGTTGATCAGGAATACAAAGTTTCCACCAAAAGGATCCTTTGATGAGTATATTGGTAGGCATATGTTTCCTGATGTTAGTGGGAATAGGAGCAAAGCACTCTTCTTGGGATACATGGTGAGATGTCTTCTATTGGCTTCCTCTGGCAATCGGAAGAGTGATAATAGGGATGATTTCCGCAACAAGAGGCTGGATTTGGCATGTGAATTGCTCCAGAGAGAGCTATGGGTACATATTATGCATGCCCAGAAACGTATGGTCAAGGTCATGCAGAGACATTTGAGTGGTGATGGTGACCTACAACCTCTTGAGTGTTATGTCCATGCATCAATTGTTACCAATGGTCTCAACCGTGCCTTCTCCACTGGTTCCTGGTGCCATCCATTTAATAAAAGAGAGAGGTGTTCAGGGATTGTTGCAACCCTTAGGAGAACAAATCCTCTTCAAATGATGTCTGACATGAGGAAGACACGACAATGGGTTGCATATGCTGGAAAGGCTGGAGATGCTAGATATCCGTAAGTACCTTTCGACATAGAATCATTCATTCCTGTTATAATTTATTTTTTTGTTTTCAATATCCTAATGCAAACTGACTTACCAAATCCTTTCCTAGGAATCCATCATATTGGGGAAAGCTATGTTTCTTGTCCACTCCTGATGGTGAAAAGTGTGGATTTGTGAAAAATCTTGCCATTACTGCTATCGTTAGTTGTTTGGCAAGGGAGCCCTCGGTTGACGCACTTGTTTCTTGTGGGATGAAGAAACTGGATGAACTGCTTCTACAAGAGATCAGCGGGAAAGACAGAATCTTCTTGAATGGAAACTTGGTTGGAGTTTGTGCAGACTCAGTCGAGTTTGTTTTGCACTTAAGGAGCATGAGACGCAGGAAGCAAATTGATGCACAGGTTTCTTTCTTTTCCAGATTCTGCTACACTGGAACGGATTTTTTTTTTTACTTTGAAGCATTGTGTACTAATCCATGATTATGCTTTGCTTTCATTTATGATGATTGAAAATTTCCTGCTAAGCTATTATGCTCAATTCAACCTTGAAGCATCTCTGTGAGAGATTTTACATATCATGATTGTTTGTGCTCTCCATAATTCTGATATTGTTCTGCTGTTATGGGTGGCTAGGGATCGTATGGGATATGAGTGATGGGTGGGTGGCCGTGGCTTAGGTAATTTGGTTGATCGGCGCCCCAGGATGGGCACTTCGGAGAAGAAGGTGAGAAAACAGAGAAACAGATGATGAGGAGTAGATTAATCTTGCTTACTTAATTCCTGAGTTTAAGTGCCTCTTATAGGCTTACAAACCAAAACTAACAATTGCAAATAGAAAGGAACTAATCCTAACAGACTCCCTAACAAACTCACTAAATATCTGATTACTGTTCCCGTCCGGCACGGGAGAGGATCACGGCGCTGATCCGGCTGTTGCGCCCTTGCCGCTGTCGATCACATCCGTGGCGCCATCCGGCCTTCGCCTCCTTTGATAGACAATTCCGACCATGACATCTGCACACTTAAACAAGGTGCCTTTAAAAGCAGTCCATGATTGGCATAATCTGTCTCATAATCATTTCTTGGGGTATGGTTTTCGCATTGTCACCACTGATTTATTTTTCCAGAAATCCTAATGGACCGCTTTTGTGTCATTCTTGTTTGAGTTTATGACTTTATGCTTTTGCCAAAAAAAAAAGAATAATCCTACAATGTTTGGTAAAGGAAAAGGGAATTGTATTCTTGCTTGTTAATATGAACTTTCCATTCCAATAAAATACTGTTCTCATACTTCATTTCCACTATGTAATCCTTTTTAAGTTACTTAGTAAAATTAACTAATCTGAGCCAAGAAGTATATTTGATGAATGCCATAGTTGGCCCATATCTTGTTGTAAGCATGACAGCATATTTATCACGTTAGAGTACTATGTTTCCATTTCTTCTGTGAAATATGCAACAGTATGTTAATACAACTAGATAGTACTGACAATGTATTTTGGTTTTAACTTTGATTAGGTGGAGATCAAAAGGGACAAGCAAAACAAAGAAGTTCGTATATTTTCCGATCCAGGAAGGATTCTAAGACCTCTTCTTATTGTCGAAAATCTACGAAACATCATGAATCGAAAGAATGGATCATACTCCTTCCAGGAACTTATGGATCAAAATATAATTGAGCTGATTGGTGTTGAAGAAGAGGAGGATATCCGGTGTGCTTATGGAATTAGGCATCTCTTTGCAGGGGACGAAGAAAAGAATTTCTCATTCTATACTCATTGTGAACTTGACCCTTCTTTCTTGCTAGGATTGAGTTGCAGTATCATTCCCTTTGCCAACCATGATACTGCTAAGAGAATTCTAATGCAAGCTGAAAAGATATCGCAACAGGCTATTGGCTACTCCACTACGAATCCTCTCTTTAGAGTTGATACACATTCCCATCAGCTCTATTATCCACAGAGACCTCTGTTCAAAACTGTAGCTGCTGATTGTCTTGGTAAGAGAGACTATACATCTGGAAGCAAACATGACTTTGCCAGACCAGAGTATTTCAATGGCCAAAATGCAATAGTCTCAATCAGTGTCCATCAGGGATTTAACCAAGAGGATTCTTTGGTATTGAATAGGGCCTCTTTAGAGCGTGGCATGTTTCGAACACAACATTTTAAGAGCTATAAAGCACTGATAGAAAACAAAGAGATCACCAAACGATTAAAACACAAGGAAAATATCAATTTTGGAAAAACTCCTAGCAAGAAAGGCCTGGTTGACAGTTTAGATATTGATGGCTTACCATATATTGGAGCAAGTCTTCAGAGTAATGACATTATCATTGGAAAGGTCTCAGACTCTGGTGAAGATCATAGCATCAAGCTGCTACATACTGAAAAAGGAATAGTGGAGAAGGTTGTTCTTTCAGCTACTGATGATGGGACAAATTCTGCGTTTGTTACTCTAAGACAGGTGAATATGCAATCTTTACAAAATTAATCTGCACTAACCATTTATAAATTTGCAAGATAGTGGAGTTCTCTATGACACACTATTGGAATAGTTGAATGGCCAACTGATTTTTTCTACACTAATCGACATTCTATTAGAGTTCATTGTGTCCATACCATAACACATCAATCATTTTCATCTTCTCATGTCTACTCTGCCATAACACCCAAGTGATGAACATTAGTACTGTTATTCCCCGTGTTCCAAAAGATCTACTTGTAAATCTGATAACTGATGAACACTTGTTAAAGTTAGTAAATTTTTTGATCTGATTACCTCTGCAGACTCGCTCGCCACGCATTGGAGACAAGTTTGCCAGCATGCATGGCCAGAAAGGAGTCATTGGCTTCTTGGATTCCCAGGAGAACTTCCCTTTTACTCACCAAGGCATAGTTCCTGACATTGTGATCAATCCCCATGGCTTTCCAACTCGTCAGACTCCCGGCCAACTTCTTGAAGCTGCACTAGGCAAAGGAATCGCCCTCGGCGGTGCCACCCGGTATGCGACACCGTTCACAAGTCCATCTGTGGAAGTGATCACAGAGCAGCTGCACAAGTAAGCAATTCATTCTGCCCAAAATGATCAGTAAATTTGATTGGTTTCTCTTCATGAAAGTAGAAGAACTAGAAATGTTCCAAATGTTGTTGCATTTTAATCCAGGCCAGGTTCTCAAACAATAAATTTGATTAATTTCTCTCCATTAAAAAGTAGACAGAACTAGAAATGTGCAAAATTTTGTTGCATTTTGATCGGGTTCTCAAACAAGGAACTTGATTGATTTCTCTTCATGAAAGTAGACGGAACTGGAAATATGTGAAATTTTATTGCATTTTGATCAAAATCGGGTTCTCAAATAATGAACTTGAGTGATTTCTCTTCATAAAAGTAGAGAGAACTAGAAGTGTTTTAATTTTTGTTCTATTTTAATGAACTTGACCCCATTTTCTTTATGAAATTAGTCAGAATGAACTAGCAAAATGAATGAGATTCAACTGAAAACGTGGGGAAAAGAGTTGTAGTTTTTTTGTCAGGGCTGCTCAAAATGATCAATAAAATTGACTGATTTCTCTTCATGAAAGTAGATAGAACTTGAAATGTTCCAAATTTTGTTGCATTTTGATCAGCTCTGGGTTCTCAAATTATGAACTCGGTTGAGTTCTCTTAATGAAAGTATGTTCCAATTTTCGTTCCATTTTGATGAACTTAACTGAATTCCCTTTAAGAAACTAGCTAGAGTGAAGTAATCAAATGTAAGAAATATAACTGAAAATGTGGTGAAAAAACTTGGATTTTATTTTGTCAGGGCTGGATTTCCAAGGTGGAGATAAACTAGAAATGTTAAATTTTGTTCCATCTTGATTACTGCTGGATTCTCAAATGATGAACTTGATTGAATTATTGTTTCTAACTGAAAATATGTGAAATTGAACTGAACTTCATGAAACTAGTACTAGATTGAACTACTGAATTATGTCAAATATAACTGAAGATATGGGGAAAACAATGGATCTTTTTGTTGGACAGGGCTGGATTCTCAATAACTTGATTGATTTCTCTTCATGAAAATAGATAGAACTAGAAACGTTATGAATTTTATTCCATCTTGATCTGAGCCAGATTCCCAAACAATCAACTTTCACCGAAATATCTTCATGAAACTACAATAGTAATCAGATGCACGAAACTTAACTGAAAATATGGGGAACAAAATTTCTCTCTCTCTCTCTCTCTCTCTTGGACAGGGCTGGATTCTCAATAACTTGATTGTTTTCTCTTCATGAAAGTAGATAGAACTAGAAACATTACAATTTTTATCCCCTCTTACTCTTAGCCAGATTCCCAAACAAACAACTTTCACCGAATTCTCTTCATGAAACTACAACAGTAACCAGATGCAACTGAAAATGTGATGAAAAACTTTGGAATTCTTGTTTCTTTGAACAGGGCTGGGTTCTCCAGGTGGGGAGGGGAGAGCGTGATCAACGGCCGCACCGGCGAGCGTGCGGCGTCGCCGGTGTTCACCGGACCGACGTTCTACCAGCGGCTCCACCACATGGCCGAGGACAAGGTCAAGTTCCGGAACACCGGCCCGGTGCACCCGCTGACGCGGCAGCCGGTGGAGGACCGCCGCCGGTACGGCGGCGTCAAGTTCGGCGAGATGGAGCGCGACTGCCTCCTCGCCCACGGCGCCGCCGCCAACCTCCACGAGCGCCTCTTCCTCCTCAGCGACGTGTCGCGCCTCCACGTCTGCCGCCGATGCCAGCGCGCCGCCGTCGTCGTGTCGCCCGCCGTCGCCGCCGACGGCGGCGGCGGCCGGAAGGTGAGGGGGCCGTACTGCAGGTTCTGCAGGTCGGCGGAGGAGGTGGTGAGGGTGAGCGTGCCTTATGGCGCCAAGATCCTCTACCAGGAGCTCTTCTCCATGGGCATCTGCCTCAAGTTCGACACCGAGCTCATCTAGAGTAGACTCTCAGCTTTGGACGGGAAACATCATGATTTATTCTTTTAAAAATGGGATTTTTATCATTTTTTAAGAACATTTTTAAGGACATTTTAGTCTGGTGAGGAGAGTTGACAATTTACTCCATTCATTTTATATTATAAGACGCTTTGGATTTGTCGTAATAAGTCTCTTGAATGTCATTAAAACCTGTATTGGGATATTATCCAATTGGGGCAATTGTGTTCTTACCCCTACTTTCATATCTAATTGTGATTTTACCCCTCTTTTCTAGGGTTTGTGATTTTGCCCTTATTTTTTTCGAACGAAGCTGTCGTTTGCCCCTACATTGGATGACCGTTTGGTGGACCCAAAATAAGAGTGTAAAAAATATAGATGAAATTACTAAGAGAAAAACAATGGACCATTATACCCCAGTGCAAAGAACAACACCCTGCATTGCCTTTTTCATCCCACCCGATCCCCATTCTGATTACTTGATTAGCCTAACCCTAGTGGCACCGCCGGCGGCTGTGCACAGGCGAGATAGGCCGGCGGCTGGGCAAGGCTGTGATGCCCAGCGAGCAGCAGCAGATGCCCACATCAGCAAAGCGAGTAGGGGGTGTAGGCGCAGTGAGCAAGCCGCGGCTTCGGCGGAGCGAGTGAATAGGCGGCGGCTCCGAGCCTCCGACGGCAGCCGCAAGCAGGAGGCAGCTTCGGCGGCACGTGCGAGCCCGCAGCAGCGGCATCGCACTAGAAGGCGGCGGCTCCGGTCGTGCTGCAGCCGCCTCTTATTTTCTTTTTCTTTTTTCCGATCTTGTGCTACTTTGTGAGGAGCTTGTTTGTTTGGTGATTTTTTACTGGTGAATGCGATGGATCTTTCGCACCTGGTGAAAGTTCTGTGAAATCCTATCAATGATATCGAAGTTCTTTCAAAATTTGTCCAAGTGCGATCATATTTTTTTGGAAAATACACAGATTCTAATAGAAAAGTAGGGGCAAGTGTACAGGGTTATACCTGTCTTTTTTTAGTTTCATTGACACCGTTAGGTGGTTTTAATAGAGTAGGGGTAAATCAGAGTTTCATTTTGAAAAGGTGAGGGTAAAATCACAAACCCTATAAAAAAAGGGTAAAATCACAATTGCATATGAAAGTAGGGATAAGAACACAATTGCCCCTATCCAATTTGGTGGTGTTTGCACTTTTGCAGTGGTGGTTGATGGGACAAGTTTGGTTCTTTTTTAAGCTTATTAATTAGTTCTGAATTGATATATTTTGAATTTGTTACACATTCGCTATTCAGTAGGTGGACAGTATTTACAGGCCCCAGAAAGCTAGAAGAGAAGTGGAGCCAAAAGGAGAGGAGCTCACTGATGATGGTGTGCTGCCAGTGATGATCCCAACTATAGCAAGCACATCGGATTAGGCCATTAGGCTGGGCAAAGGTGAGAAGGCTGATTGGGTGAAGGAGTCTCTGGTTGTGCGGATGGTTCAGAAAGACTAGTTCGCAAACGTGCACAGACTAGGCATCTCGCGAACAGTTTGTTCTGAGGACGTAGCGACAAGCGCCGGGGTTGAGTTAGGGTCAGTGATAGATATCGGGAGCGGCTGTGGGGGGAGGGTGGCGCTTGGGAGGAGAAGCGGTGATCAGGCTAAGATGGATGGTCTAGGAGGTAGCGGACCTATGGTCGGAGTTGGGCAAGGGTTGGCAGCAGTGCGCGCTATCGGAGCCACGGGTCAGCAGTGGGAAGTGGGCCAGTGTTGGTGACAGGGGCAAAGTGAGGTGAAGGGGAGGGAGAGGAGGCTGGTCAGGTGGGGCCGCGGTGGCACGTTGACGCCTTTTGGTGTCAACGAGGTTGGGCGACGGCATGGTGGGGGGTCGTGATGGAGAAAGTGCTAACCTGGTTACCGGGCGATCTCGTCGAAGGGAGGAGGGTGCTCTTCGGAGAGAGGCATTGGCTGCCGTCATCGGAGGAGGAAGCTCGTGGGAAGGGGTAGAGGATGGGGCTTGTCGGGGGGGGGGGGGGGTATAAGGGGGCTCACTAGAAGGGGATGAGTGGGCGGTTCGCTGAACGGCCATGGTCGTCATCACTCGGGTGGAGAGGAAAAGAAGGTGTGACTGCGAAGAATAGGTGGAGAGAGAAGAAGATAAGGTGGAGAGAGAGTTGTTGGGCTGGGCTACTGGAAGCGTTAGCGGGCCACAAACAGTCGCCCACTAAACCCACCCGTGGATGGTGAATCCAATAGTACGGCAAGTAAATCATGTGCGATTTTTGTTTTTTAGGAAGAAGGGAGACAACGGCGGACATAGGAGAGATGGGGAAGGGAGGTAGTGTACAAGGTGGTCGAGATAAGGAGGGAGCGAGGAGGTGCAATGCTCATGTGGAGGGATGAGTGGATTACAAGGAGAGGGGAAGGGAGAGGTGGTTAGAGTTTATAAGTGCTATACATGTCTTGGAATTATAATGATTGTCTAAAAATAATAGACAACCACGACCTATTATCATCTTATCCATCATTTGAGAGTAATATTAGAAATGAGCTATTGAGCCCCTACACCACAACATGTGTTGTGGTATGTCAGTAAAAAAAAATTGTTTGATAAGAAACCTTTAGCCAAGTGCGTGAATTTTCAAATGCATCCAAAAAAGGTTAGTAACTAATTGAAAAATCACCTTTGCAAATCAATAGAGCATACGAAATAGTGGACTATTGTGTAGCATCTCTAACAAAATATCTATTTATTCTCCATACATAATTCCTAAAATTGGAGTTTATCTTTTCCACAACTGAGTAATACAACTTTAATCCTCAGAATACATATCCCATATTTATTTTAAGAAATACCATATAAACCTCGCTAGGTTAGCCCTATGCCTTAAAAGAATGTAATTTGGTTATAATTAGCAAAAAAAAGTCAAATGTGAGTTAATCATCTTGACATCATGGGGCCTAGTCGTTTGATCTCAAATGTCCAACCTCCCCATTCCCAGAATTATTTTATTTCCTACAATAAACTCTTGCAATATTTTCTCATACTAGCATAATACCCGTACTCACTGGCGGTGGTGTGGTGCCAATGATGATCCCAGCTCTAGCAAGCATATCGAATTAGGCCATTGGGATTTGGGGCTGGGGCAGAGGTGGGAAGGGGGAGGGTGAAGGAGTCAACTTTAGAGAGAGTAATTAGGCAAAGTTTGTACTGATGGTTGATCCAACGGTATGAGCCTTTGAAGAGGGGAGAGGAAATGGGGCAAGGAAATCATGAGGGATTTGAGGAAGAAGGGAGACGACAACGGCCATGCAAGGCGAGATATGGAATGGAGGTGGTTCTCAAGGTGGTCGAGATAGAGAGGGAGCAACAGCGAGCAACGCTCATGTCAGGGATGAATGGATTACAAGGAGATAGAGAGGGGGGGGGGAGGACAGGGAGGGAGTTCAGGGTTTATAAGTGTTATACATATCTTGGAACAATAATAATGATAATGACAGTAAAGAAATGAACATATATAACCAGTTGATGGATAAATACACAACCCCGATTCGTTATCATCTTATCCATCATTTGAGACCAATGTTGGAAACGAGGTATTGAGCCCCTACACCACAACAGATGATAGGATAGGAATATTTGTAGTATGTTGGTAAAGAAAAGGATTATCTGTAATAAAGTTTTAGCCAAGTGTGTGTGTCGGTGATATGGGACCGGGAGTATCGTGACTAGAGGCTTGAGGCAGACACAACCGCCCACGTGGCCTGGCACCTTCGGGGACGTCGGGCCCGAGGGTGAGGTGACCGCCCTCCTCCTGATTTCCCCGAGGGAGGGGTCGGGTGACTCCAGCCTCGCCCCCGAGGGCCGAGGCGCCCCGACCCCTCGCGTTTTGTACTCCACGTGTATGGGTTAGGTGAGCACAGCAGGGCTCACCTAACCGCATTTATTGCGCCTCGGCTAAGCGTGTCACGCCGCACGAAGTGCAGTGCAGTGCTCTCGATTATCCGGTCTGTGACCAGTCACAGACCGGTCAAATCGCGGGTTAGGTGGCGACAGGCGGTCAGACGCATGCTTCGCCCCATCCTGTCTAGACGAGAGCTTCTAGGCACTCGTCCCCGGCTGGAGCTAGCGTGTTACATCCCAGAGATGACACGTTAGCCCCGATCGATATATGCCAGGCTTCATCCTAACCATTACAAGCAAGATGTTGTTTGAAGAAGGGCAAACATGCACGTTGCTGAGCCGACGTGTGGAGGACAAGAATGACCGATTTGTGACCGGTCTGACACTGCTCATGTCGTCAGCACACAGCCACCTTCCCACGACGTGCCCGCCTCAGGCAGAAGTGGAGGTAGGTATGTGCCGTCCCATCGGAGGACGACCGTGCAAATCTCCGTCCATTTATGAAAAGAAGAAAAGTCCAGTTTGGAAAGGGAAGGGGGCATGTGGTATCCCCTTGAAATATAAAAGGAGGACCTTGCCCATAGAGAAGGGATTGGTTGATTCTTGCCAGATTTAGAGCCTAGAGCGGGGGAGAAGTGGGCAGACACTTTGTAGCTCATTCATACACAAATCCACAAAAACACAGGAGTAGGGTATTACGCTTCGCGGCGGCCCGAACCTGTATACATCGCCGTGTCTCGTGTTTCTTCCGGGCGAGCGATCTTTCCACACACAGCGAGAGCTTGAGATCTCACCCTAAGCCCCCGGCCGAACTGGCAAAGGGGGGCCTGCGCGGTCTCCCGGTGAGGAGCCACGGGCTCCGTCATCTGGCGCGCCAGGTAGGGGGCTCAGTGTGTGTTTTCTGAGCTCTCAGACTCTTCCGTGTGCGCCAAGTATTTCTTGTTCAGCCTAATGGCCGAGCAAGGAAAAGCGCACGACCTCTCTCCGAGTGTGAGCGGCGACGACGGGGAGCCGAATCCACGTCGTCGAGCTCGTACTCCCCCACCTCCTCCGCGCCAAAGCCCTAAGCAGGGGGAGGCGCTTGAGAGGGTCGACAAATCTGTGGCATCACCAGTCGCAGGTGATGCAGGAGAACGGCGAGATGGGGAGCGTCGCCTCCTCGTCTACGGCGACGGCAGCACGCCTCAGGGTGCGCTTCAGGCTGCTGGCGCGCTCCTACGACACCCGCCTGTCGTCCATGACCCGGAGTCTCCAGCCCAACGATGGCTGGAAGACGTGGCCAACTTGGTCATGACGGCACAGCAGCGCCTGGGTGCTGGTGGACGGTCCGCCACCACCAAGACCTCCGGCGCCGCTACCACCGGCTCCGTGTCGTCAAGGCGGAGGGCGCG